TGCTTATCATAACAGCCACAGAGTATGTTTATCACCCGCTGAGATAAACCACACTGTATTATTCCCTGCTGGACTTCTCAGATAAAGCAGATCCACATCACAACAGCAGGATGCCAGGCATCAGGAGGGGATGTGACTCAGAAGCAGAGAAACCATCAGGCACCGCTGGACACGGAACTGAGGAGTTCATGGAAACACGTGCGAGTGGGGAGCACCACCACCTACATTGCTGTGAGCCAAGTGTTTTGACACCTGCAAATGGGAAAGCATTAGACACACTCCAACAAGGCTGCTGACAAGTGTTTGGGTTCTCCTTTCCATTTAGGAAAGGAGGGGATCATTTAATACAGATTCGATCACAGCCCCTACACAGGCACTTGTCCTCCCTCAGGAATTTCCACCCTCAGCAGCTACCACTTGAGCAGATTGCTACCTTGCTGAAAGTCAACACTAATCAGCTCTTCCCTTCCCTGCAAGGGCTCTGTTTCTCTTCAGAACGAAGAAAATTGAATGGGGTTTCAAGGATTATTCCAGCATGCTTGTACAGGTGGTTACAAAAACCAGCACGAGCTCCTCAGCCCTCCCCTCCGTGCCTGGTGCTGGGCTTAGCATCCTCAGAAGGGCTCGTGAAAACACAGCTCCCAAACTCTGCTTTTCATGAAGGCAGCAGACACGGTTTGAACAGCTGTGGATCCTCACACCAAGAAGCTGTGAGAAAAGCAGAAATAGCACTTGGAGGTCACCAGTGCATGAGGTTTTAATAAATGCAGGAAAACTACTTGGAGTGCCAGCGTTCTTCACATGCTCACATTGCACCGCAGCACCTCGTGCCCAGCAGCAGCAAATAGGGAAACTGAGGCAGAGGGAGCAAGTGGCCAAAGGCAACAGAAAGTGCCTGTGTCCCGGCCGCTCCGGGGGCCGTTTCTGTGTTTGGAAGATGCTCTCGCCAGCCAGAGAGGAAGGCAAAACAGTTCCCAAGCCCTGTGACGTGAATGCTGGCGTAACAACAGAACAACAGCATGTCCTAAAGCATAAAGGGCTTTAAAACTAAAATAAACAGGTGGTTACAAGGATGAGAAGTGATTTCCTGCAGCTTTGTGTTTCATGACTGGATTATTCCGCCTTATCTTAACAAGGTGCAAGCTCCATTCAAAGCTTTTCCTGTAGTTGAGGCACTTAAACTTTTCCCTGTACAGGTTTTCCAGTGTCTAAAACTGTAATTTCAGAGCCTCTCCTTCAGCTCACGTGCAAACTGGGCCTCCCTTCCCTTACTTTGCTGCTTATTTTCAAAACCTTTATAGAAATGTGCACGCTCCAAATCCACTGCAGCTCTGTTCAAGCTGGTTGTGACTGCCCAGCAGGTCCAGAAATTATCTGGAAAAAGTAAGAGAGCTGGATAGGCAGACAGCATGATTACAAAAGCCTCTTCTCCATCAAAAGCCAGGCTAAAAATACCATAGACCAGGTCCAGTTCTTCTCTAGCAAGCAATGAAATTGCACCAGAGTCGATTTTGGCCCAATATGTACTTGGCAAATACTGATAACAAGGATTTACCATATCCCCTCTAGTGTTACAGCTGACTGCAAAGCAAACATTTGCTTCCCACAGATAACAAGATGAGTACGATCGTTTTGGGTTTGCAAAGGTTACAGTTCTTCACTCAAGGCAGGTCCACGATTCTCATGGCTCAAGCAAGAAAAAAAAAAATCCCTCATTTGTGGCTTGTTTTCCCCCAGGTACCTACTCACCTCATGCAAAGACATAGTTAGAGATGAGTTTGGGATAGGTTCCAACAACAAATTACAATGAGATTAAATATTAATTCCCATTTTAATTATATAACCATGACTAGGCTTAATGGTCAGGCAGTCATTAAACAGGAGAGAAGCATGTAAAATGAATGAGAGGCATTTCTTGCATTGCAAATGCCTGGAGCGGCTCACGGGCACACGGATTTCTCCCTAGGAGATTAACCGACATTTGGGAAGGCAGCCCCGAGGGAAGCTCCAACCAGCAACCAGGAGCAACCATCGGACTCGTGAGTCCGCGTGGGACAAGGCAGCCCATGGCCGGGATGGTGCCCTTGGGATACAGGATCTTCTTCATCATGGTGTATAAATAACTAGGTGCTAATCAGCCACTGATAGATCTTATCCCCGCCCCAACGTCTCTGGCAGCCTCTCTGTCTAAAGATGGGCTAGGAGGACAGCAGAGCTGGCTCGAGGATACAGCGGGAATGAAAGGGAGATGTCCTGAGCACCACTGCAAGGGTCACCCCACAGAGCAGGTCCCAAACACAGCTCGGGAGGCTCCCTCTGGCTCCCAACCGGACCACGAGCACATGGAGAAGTGTCTCCCTTCTTCCCCGGGGCGGGCAGGTTGCCAAACTCCTTCTGAAATTATGGCTCACGCCACTTTGAAGTGGCTCATGTACATTAGCGATACACACACCCTGCGCAGGGCCCCGCAGCGGATCAAACTTTTACAGCTGTCAGTAGAAAGTCTGCTCAGAAAGCGGGAGAAACATCAGAAAATTGGCTGCATCTGCTTCGCTTTAGACTTCAAGGTGGCAAAAGGAGAGGGCATAAAGAAAAAAAAAAAAGAAAGAAAACAAACTACCTCTCAGTGTAGAGCTGCAGGGAAAACAAACACACAACCAAGTCTGAGCTGTTTTCTCTTTCAGCATGACACTTGAGAAGAGAAACGGGGAAACACCAGTCACAAGTTCACTACTTTTCAGCAACCTGAAGTGTCTGGGATTCAGAGCAGCCGTCGTGACAGGCACAGCACCGTGGGTGAGACCCACACCGGGAAACTCGCCCCGGGCAAAGCCTCAGCGACGTGGTGTGCGAGACACAACGCTCCATGGGAGCAAACGGGGATGGAGAAACTGGGAATTCAAGGGAACATCCCTCTCCTCCTCTGCTGTTCTCCCTCATAACCCACCCCGTGATGCTGCTGCCATGCAGGGCCACGGACACCTGCACGTAGGTGCCGCCCGCAAGGCTCTCCGAATGGCAACGTCGCCTTCTCCGGGCGCAGGGAATGCGAGGTTACGGAGCCGAGGAGAATGCGACGGGAAAGATGGAACGAAGCAGGACTGGAGTGAGGTGATGTAGAAAAAGCAAATCTGTTCCACAACAGCAGAGAGACTTGACCACAAATCCGAGTGACATGAACCCAGATGGATTTCAGCTGATCACTCAGATGGAAAAGCTCAGCCCACTTCGCGCTGCAGCGGCCCTGTATGGAGCCCCACGGAGAGCAGCCCGCAGAGCCCCCAGGCCAGAGCCAACTGAAGAGCGGGGAGACCCCAAAACCAACAGCCCCTGCCTGTTTCTGCAGGGAAAACAACCTCGAGATCGGGCAACAGAAAGTTTGTGATGGCCGGGATCACATCCTTCACTAAACTGGCACTGCTTCCATCAAGCCTACAGGGCCGGAGAGGGGAGGGTTTTCCAGCCTTCGTCCTCTCCCAAGTACTTCGTCTCCAGAGAGCCCCGAAGCACGGATCAAAACACATGAGGCTTCAGGATCAAACGCACACTGCTCCAAAACCATTCCAGCCCTCCGCCAAATTAATCCCACATTGAAACTAGGCCATGTTTTCCCTCACGGAATCAAACCCACCTGTTGGAAGGCACATCCGCGAGCACACGCGCACACAGACACGCTCCCTACCTCTGCCCTCAGAACGGGGCCCCCCGCTACAAAACGAACGGAAAACAGTTTTCACCGGCTGCCCTAATTACCCCAAAAAACAGAGAGAAGTCACAACTGTAAATTTCCACAAAGTGCTTGAAGTTTTCCCCCAGCGGAAGAGATTTGAGAAAATAAAATCTATTCCCTACCAGATGATCTTTAAAATAAATAAATATCATTCTCTACTACAAGCTTCAGTCCCGCGCTTGGACACGCAGCCTTGTGCTGCCAGTGGATGTGCTGGGGGTGTCACCACCTGCATCCGTCTCGGAAGAGCCCCACGCGCCGGTGACGAAGGAGCGCTCCCAGGGACCGTTATCCAACGGCGGCCACAGGAACACTGTGCCTACCGCACACGGCAAGGCCAACCTCAGCAAGGGCTTGCTCAAAAAACACCCTGCAGCCATCCACCACTCCCCCCAAAAGGTGGTTTCTGGAAGCAAAAAGGGCTGGATGCTTTTTATGCTTTTATGATACTCTGCTGAGTCTGAGGGAACGGGAAAAAGGGACAAAGCCACAGAAGGAAATCGGGTCTCCACATCCCCCTCCTTCTGCTCCAGGGTCCCCTCCAGACAAGGGGGTCCCTGGGGACCCCAGCAGGTGCTTCCCAGGGCAACCTGCTAACACGCCCGTTCCCAGCCCGCTTTTGCAGGGACACGGATAAACCCAGGGGAAAGCTCCGCAGCGATGGTCTGCGGGACGCGCACCGGCACAAACTTCCAGGGCAGGCGCGGGAAGTCAGAGAGGCTCCAGGCGAGAACCGCTGGACTCGACGGTCGGGAAAACAACGGGACGGGCAGGCGCTATCAGTGATAGTCGTTATCGGTTAATAGTCGTTATCGGATGGACCAACGGGACCTCGGGAAGGGGCACAAGGGACCGGGGTGCCCGGGAAGGGGCAGGACACCCGGGCCTGCCCCAGGCCCTGTGTCTTTGGGTTGGGACCCCCTTGGGCACCCCAGAACTGACTCCGGAGGAGGCACCAAGCGGCAACGTGCTGGAGTCATCGCCCGGCACGAGGGGACGAGGGAATGGGGGAATGGGGGTAACTCAGCCCACGAAGGGGGGCAAATACTGGGGAGGGGGGGGAATGGCCCGGGAAGGGGGGAGAGCCACTGAGGGGGGTGAAAAGCGGCTACCGCGGGGAGAGGAGAAGTAGCCACCGAGGGGTGGGAGACACCGAGAAGGGCCGAAACACCGAGGCGGGGGCTGAGGCCGCTGCTGGGGAGGGGTCGGTGGCCCCACTCGCGACCCTGGGCGCCCAGCCGGGCTCTGCCCTCCCTCCTTGCTCACCCACCTTGCACGGCCAGGACGGCGAGGGCGGAGAAGCAGAGACAAAGCAGGTCCTCCAGCGCCATGTAAGCCCCGCCGGGCGCCGGGAGCAGGGGCCGCCGCGGCCGCATTTAAGAGGGGAGCGCGCTCTCCCGCCGCCCCACCGCCATCTTGTGCGAGCGCCCTGGCCCCGCGCCGCCCGCGGCCGCCGCTCGCCGGGCCCCGCTGCCCGCGGAAGGGGAGGCAGAGGCGAGGGGAGGGAAGGAAAGGAGGGCGGCCGCGGGGCTCTGCCTTTGTGCGCGGGGCTCGCCGAACCGCGAGGGCTGCCGCTGCCCGCCGCCTCCGCCCGCTCCTCCTCGCGCGCCGCCCGCCCGCCCCTCGCCCGCCGCGGCTCCAACAGGTTGCAGCGAGCCCGGGGGGCGGCGGAGCCCGTTTCCCTGAGGGGAAGGAAGGAAGGAAAAGGAGCGGAGCGGGACGGAGAGGGGCCGGCCGGATCCCCCACTCCCGCCCCGCGGCAGGTGCCGGGCTGCTCCCCCGGGGCCGCCGCAGCTCCGCACGGCGGGGCGCGGAGCGGGGGAGCTCGGAGGGACGGACAGACGGACCCCGAGCCGTTGTGCCCGAGCGGGGCTCGGGGACGGGAGGGTCGCTGTCGCCCTGGGGACCTTCGGAACCGCGCGGCGTGGGGAGCTGCCGGAGAGCCTCGTGGCTGAGGCGGCCGCTAGTGTCCCCCGCCACGGCCCTGACCAGGCTTCCCACCTGTGGAAAATGCGCTTTATTTTTTTTATAAATTATATATATATTTATTTAAAGCCAATAGAACACGTCGCGCAGCCTCATCCGCAGCCGCTCGCTGTGCAGGGAGGAGGGACCCGTGTGCGGCGATGGGGAGAGGCGGCCGCGGGCCGGTGACACCGAGGTTGTGGTGGCAGAGGGTGGCACAAAGAAGAGCCACCGTGTCCCGAGAAGGGGCTGCCCGGCACCCAGCTCTCCTCTTTATTAGCTGCTTTAATAGACTATAAAAGGAAAATTGAATGAGAAGGACCGCGTGGTGGGGAGGTTTCCTCTGCGAGGTGCCGGCTGGATTTCAGAGCGGAACGGCACAGGGAGCCAGGTTCCTGCGGGAACAGCTCCCGTTTGGGCAGAAAACGTGGACATTAACAGCCACGTACCCCTCATTTATCCAGCCTTAGTCCAATGTGGAGCTAAGCCTTGGAAAGCTGCACAAACCGTCCGCTCCCTTGGCCTGTCCCGCCTGCTCCCTTCGCGGGAGGTGGCGTTAAGGCAGTTTAAGTCATTCAGTTTAAATTATCAGTTTGTAGATGAACGTCCGCCAGTATTTTCCTTTCAGGCACATCTACTTCCCAGCCCTTTTCTTCCTCAACTCCTCCATATTTCCCCCCTCCCTGTGAGCAAGGAAGTCTTTAGCTAAAAAACAGGCAGGTCCAGCATGATGTAAGTAATGGAAATTGGTGCAAAGTGCTATGTGGCTAACCAAGCTGGGCTCTGCTGGTCCTTAGACCGGGTTGGGCTTAAAAGGAGAAGCAGACACCAGCCTGGAAACCAAAAGAGCCAAGTCTGGTTCTTAATGTCATTTAATCCCTTGGTGACACCTGCCCATTTCCTGCATTTTGGTGGGAAGAGGAATCGCACCAGCATTTTGACAAACCTGAGCTTGCAACACATGGATTCCCTGTCCCGCTGGGGAAAGGACTTAAAAAACAGCCTGATCTGTGAAAACGATGGGGTGGCCGCTTCCCTTCGCACTTGCAACACCCGTGCAGCGAGTGAGTGACACCAGATTGCCTCTGTCACCTGCATCTGCACAGCGAGTGACACCGAATTGCCTCGGTCACCTGCACCGGCCCAGTGAGCTCCCGGTGATCGGTGTTTGCACGACCAGCACTTTCCAAAGCACTGAGTTTGCAGGAGCCAACCCCAGAGGGAGAAAAGCTGAAGGAAACGTCGCTTTGTTGATCCAGGAAACATCATCTGTCTCTAAGTCTGTAAAGGGGGCCGTGACAGCAGACCTGGGAGCAATGCTGTGTCCCCTAACAGGGCCATTTCTGCCCCCAAGCTTACAAAGCCCCTCTCTCATGCTGCAGGCTCCCAAAAGTGTCCATCCCTGTCCACTCAGAGCTTCATCCCAGCTTTCAGCAGCTGCAAACCCGCAATGTTTTTCAGCTGAGAAGGTGTGAGTAGCGAAGCAGCAGCAAGTAGCAGGTGTTTGGAGTTCAGTGTTTTCCTCCTCGCTTGGGAGGCATTTCAGCACTCTGAAAAGATCACTGGGAGACAGCTCCTTGCTCAGTGTATCCCGCCCATCCCTTGGGTCACGTACAATCCCAGCAGCCGAGCGATCGTTAGGGAAATCCAGCAGAACCCCCTATAAAATCACCTCTTTGAGCAGGTGTTTCCTCCGCGCAGGCAGCCTGGAGCCGAGGGGGGATCCGTGCTCGCTAGTGCTGCCACCTCCATCCTGTTTATTGCAGCTAGAAGAGGCCAGGAAGTGGCCGGTTATGCAGGTATCTGAACCAGGATTTCTCCAACCCCAACCCACACCAAGCTGCCCACATCCTCTTGCAGTTGGCAGCTGGAGGACTCCAATGAGCAGGAACTTCTCCGCAGACTAAGAGTGCCCCCACAGAGCACGGACCTGGAACAGCAGCCGGGGACAAATCCCAGCGCCTGGGCCAGGCTGAGAGGCTGAGCACCCTTCCCTCCCGGGCAGGAATCGCTGTGTCCAACGCAGGGCTCTTCTCCAATGCAACCCTGCTCTTGTTTCTGCAGCTCTTTGAGCCAGGGCAGGTCTCTGACACCCGCACTGAGGATTTGTGATGGGTTTAAGCTGTTTTAATTAGTGGAAGAGGTGCGAGGCTGCAGGAAGGGAAGGAGCTGGAAGCTGAACCGGCATCCGTGTTCTGCTCCAGCTCCTCTGCTGCCGGCCGAGAGGCAGCACCAGGAAGCCGGGGAGCTGCACAGAGGGGCACGAGGCGGCTCCCAGTGACACCACAAAGCCAGATCCACCCAAATCCACCCCAAAAACACCACGGTGGTTGAAGATCCCCTCGGGGAGATCCGCCCGGAGCCCCTTCCCGGTCAGGCGGCCCCGGCGGCGCTGGAGGGCACATTGACTCGCAGGCGCGGGAAGCCTCCTGCTCCGTGCGCGTGAGCACTGCCAAACAGGAGCAGCTGGTTGCACATAATAACATGCATTGTGTAAGTGAGCAGCACAATAAGCAATTTGCTCGACAACCCAGGGACATCAGGACGATTCTGTACAACAGAGAAGAAAGAAAAGAGGAAAAAAAAAAAAAAAACCCGCAAAAACGCGCTGACCAAACCCTAAGGGAGCCTCAGGATACTACCCCTTCATTTCATTAGGCTCGCTCTTATAAATATTTATTGCACACGCTATCTCATCACTCTTCCAGGAATGGGTGCTGTGTTATTGTTACACCCGGCAAGGGCTTTCCCTCCTCCCCTGGTCGTGCCACCGGTTCCCAGGGACAGAGAGGGAGCAAGAGAGGGACATGAGCTACGGAAAACTTCACAGGGGGCTTTGGGGTGGACATTGGCAGCACGTTGTTGGGAGAAAGGCGGATGGAGAGGAGACGACAGAGAGTAACGGGATAGCGGAAGGGATTTCTGCAAACAAGGGCCCCGGCTCCGCAGCCCGGAGCACGAGTGAACAGAAACTCTCCCACGCCGGGAACCCTGCGCGGCTGCAGGAGGGCAGAGTTTGGATTTAAACGAGCGCCAGGCTGGAAAACTGCTCGCAGGGAAGCCAAGGGGTAGCCTGAATATCAATATTTGCCTGCAAGGAGAAAGCGTTCACATTAGAGTGACCTGAAAATCTGGCACTTATAAAGCTGCTGTTACAAAAACATGGATTTTTAGCTCTGCTATTCCTATTGCTGTGCCCTATTCCTGGCCCTCTTCATTGGCCACTGGGACTTCTCCCTCAAGCCAGGATTTGCAGACTCAAACACCAACTTGCCTCCAACAAAGGCAGGCCAGGCAGAGCACATTTTAGGTTAAATGAATCCGTTTCACTTAACTAAGTCCCCCTTGTTGTCATATTGGTCCTTTTTTTGTGCATTTGTTAACCAGCTCGTTCACTGCCAACTATAATCAAAAAAAGATCCCCTAGAAACATCTCCATGTGTTGTAAAGTGGCTGCATAGAGCATCGCTCTCCCGTAAACATACACAACCGTGAAAAATAATATTTGCTCATAAACAACATCTGTGGGCTTCTCCTACAGCACTTACCAAGGCCCAATAAATGTTGCCGTCCCTGAACAGTCTGATTTTATTCCCTGCTGCGATGCCTACTAACTAGGGTTGGTTTTAGGCATAAACAACACGAGGGGCCATCGAGGGCCCCTCTCAGGCAGCTCCCGAGGTCTTTGTATCTCCCCATTCCTGCACTAAGGAGCCCACTGCCCTTTCTCTCCCAAGCAGCCCCCCAGATCAGCACAATCCACCCCAGACACCTCAAGAGCTCTTAGGTTTTTGCCCAGAAACAGCCGTTTCACACCCAAAGCCCGTGCCGGCTTCTAGAGCCTCCCCCCGCTGTGCAACGCAGACCAGTCCCATCCATCAGACTGCTCTGCAAACCTAAATAGATGCTGTATTTATTTATGGATTACCGACCACAAGAAAGGGAAGCTTTGCACCATTGTGAACCCTGGCGCACTCGGTCTGCTATAAATAATGCAGCATTGTGCAGTGTTGGTTTATGGTTTAAGTTCCAGTGCGCGACACAGACCAGCAGACTCAGCAAAGGCGAAGGCAGCACCGGGTATTAGTAAGAGAAATGGCACCAGCTGAGGAAGACTATTAAAAAAAAAAATAAAAGCCATGTCCTCAGAGTTATATTAATGCAAATTTGCCCAGCCAAAGGCCTGCTTTTACCTGATTCATAACTGCACAAATCTGTGGTTATGCTCTGGTTTTCACTCTGCTTTCTCCCGTTCAGGAGCTAATTCGATTTCAGCTAAACACTCATTACGAGGGGTCACCGCCACGGCCAGCGGGCACCCGTGCAATGGGGCTTCCAAAACATGAAGACATTGAAAGAGCTTCCACTGCTTCCTTTGGACTCGCCAGTTAAAACTTTCACAAATTAAGCT